AATATATATTAGAAAAAATTCTATATAAAATAGAGATGACAATGGTGTGGGGCGGGAGTGAGCATGTCATCTCCCATTCTCGTGTTCGTGAAAAGTTTTAGTCGCCGTCTCCACCTTGTTTTTTGGTTCGAGAATCGAGATCCAAGTTAAAGGATCCTTATTTGGAAACGGGAATATTCGCGGAAAAATTACCGATTATATAATTAATTTTAATTATTTTTATAATTTAAAAATAAAAAGTGTAATAAATATATATTAATTATTTTTAGAATTATTATTCACTAGTATAAATAATTAGTTATAAAAAAATATTTAATATTTTATTCACAATTTAGTAAATATGTCAATAAAATATATATTAATTATTTAAAAATGGAATCAGGGATCGGATCGGGACACGCATTTCCCATTCTTAGAGCGTAGATCTGACCTTGTGGGAGCTCTTGTCATCCCTAATATAGAGACATGAAAATACAAGTTTAGAGAGATAGAAATAAACTTTTGAAATAGAAATTTTAGAGTGATAAAGAAAAAATTTAGATAAAAATAATTAGTGATAAGATGAAAAATATACCCATATTTTATATATTTATTTTACATTTTATTAATTTATTATGTTTAAATATGGGAATTTAATTATAATTTATCATTTTGTGGCAGATTGAAGATATTCAAGAATAATAATTTAAAAACGCAATTTTAGAGGATAATGCGGACTTCACCAAATTGGGAAGAGTTCAATGGATCAATACAGACACAATTATTATGGCGGGAAGCTTCAATTTGAGAATTATGAATTTTTAGAATATTTTGTAAATAAATAGATATAATCAAAGTAGGAAACATAATCCTCAATTGATTAGGAACTCTTTTATTTAATTTGTTTTCTTTTAAAAACGATATTTCCCAATTAGTTAGGAATTCCTTATTAGAGATAATTCGGATAAAGTTAATCTTTATAAATAGAAAAGTCTTATTGGGAGATCCATCATCCAAGTTCCAAGCTCCCTTCTCCAAAATTCAGTTCTCTCCCTCTACCATGAGTGGCTAGGCTTTAATTCTTTCAACTCAAGGGTGATTCAAGTCCGATTGTAAGCTTGGGAGGCTGAAGTTAGATATAGATTTCTTCTTTTTTCAAGTATTCTTTGTTTCTTGTTCTTATAATTTATGAACAGTTTATATTAATTAAATTGACGCCTTAATTCATATTAATTGTTCTATTGCTATCCATGAGTTTGTGATCCGTAATTGTCATCAATGATTGAAATAAGTAGTAAGGGGTTGGCTTATGTGTATGTATTATGACTTTTACATGTTTACATAGCTGGCATAATAGACTCTAGGGAAACAAAGAGACAAAATTAATTAACTTGTAGCTATCTCAAATTAATTAATTTTTGTTTAGTCATTCTCATTATCCTTTAATGCTATTCTTTGACTAATATGGAACACTATTGTGCCCAGTTGATTAATTAATAAGATTTAATTTTGATGTTTGGTCTAAATTAATTAAATTAGGAGAATTAAAACTTACCACGGCTGTTCCAAGTAAGTAGACTAAGTTCTTGAATCAAGATACCAATTTTGTGTAAAGCCTATGATCAAAATTACAATTGGATGAAAATCACACATTTGAATTGGAAGTTTGGTAAGATTGACTTTCGTTTTCCTTTTAGTTTATCTTTTTAAATTTCAAAATTTAATTACAAAACCCCCCATTTTTTAACTTTGAGAAATTAATTTCATTGGTTCCCTTGGGATTTGACCTGGTCTTGCTACTTAAATTTAGTAAAATCAGTAATTATTTTGGAGGGCCTCGACAACCCTTACCAATTAGTGGAAAAAAGTTAAAGACAAGAAAAATTTTAGAGAGGAAGAGTAGAGTTGAGAAGAAAAGATACGTAGAACCATAAATTTTAGGCCAATCATAAACGGCCACGTCATTATTTTTTTAATTTAGGGATCAATTATAAATTAACCCTAAATTAAAATTAAAGACCAATTGACAAATTTGAAATATGTCACATATCTTTCATTGGGCCTCTTAATTGAATTTAATTGGTTGAATTGAGTCATATGAGAATTGGATCGGTAATGAATTTTGTTCACACATCAATTAAATGGTATTTTGGTTCAAAACCCAAATTATCATGAGACCAGGTGGATTAATATTTAAATTTAAATTCAATTAAAGAATTTAGGTTGTGTCCAAAATTATCTAAGCCCAAATATTTTGAAATTAAATTGGGCTCGTAACCCAAATAGAACCCAATCCATGGGTTGAGTCCAAAATCACTCAAGTCCAAAAGCCCACCAAGCCTGTGGAAACCCCCGTAAATAGAGGGAGTCTCCTTCATTTTGAGGGGTTCAAAATTTCAGAATTGAGAGAATTTGCACCAGACTCTCTTGACTTAATCAGAGGATAAAGATTAGAGATTGAATCAACTATACAACATAAACAAAAATCAAAGTTCAACTCTACAAAATATAATTTCTCCAGAAATCTCGTGTGAACGGCATTAAAGAAAAAAAGGAAATTAGAAAGAAAGAAAATTATAGAAAGAAAAAATTTAGAGATAAAAATCATATTCGAAAGATACTTGTTAGAGAAAATAAATAAATACAGAAGAAATAAAAGTTATAGTGAAAGAAAATTGAATGAGAAAAGAATATATAATTTTCAGAGGAAAAATAGACCAAAAAGAGAAAGGAAAGTAATTTTAGATAGAGAAAAGTTCGGGAAAATATTAAATTTTTAGAGAGAAATGAGAGTGATTTGTTAGAACGAAAAGTAAAAAAAAATAAAAATACATAGAGATGAAAATTTTGGAGAAATAGAAATAATGATAAATATTTAAAATATTAAAATTTTAGAAAGAGAAAAATAAATTTCTAGAGAGATATTTATGAAGAAAAAAATTTTAAAGTGAAAAAGAGAGTTGTTAGAGATAAATATGTGACAGGAAAAAAAAGTTGACTATAGGAAGAAAAAAAATGAAATTTTGAAAAACAGAAATCTGTTTTTAAATTATTTTTTTTTGAAGTTTACGTAGAATTATAAAATGGTTTTTGAAAAAAAAAACAGAAAATTGAATTGGTTATCCGTTGTTTTTCAAAAATTTAAAACCAAAAACTACAAACAGAAAATAAAATAAAGTGGCTACCAAACGAACACTTAAATTTTCAAGCTTTCCTTTATTTTTGGAAAAAATAGCAAGCCTTCTGCAAACCTTTCGATTCCCCTTCCATTAATATGAATAAGCCATTTCTCTTGTAGGTCTGTGGAGACGGCAAGTTTTGGTAATATTATCTTAGGGATTGTTTAGCAACGTTTATGTTTTTCGTTTCGTGTTTCTTGTATCTAGTTTTTTAGAAATATAAGTATTTAGAAACTGTCCTTGTTCCTGTTTCTAGCATGAGCATGTAATGACGGTTTCATGGTTATAGTTACTGTTTTGTTTGTTATAGATATACATTTGTGCGTCCATTTCGATCCTCAGCTCAGCTTGTTTATTATAGATATACATTTGTGACAACTTGGTATCTATAACTTTATTCTAGACTAAACATAGTGGTTTTGGCAAATGAAAATTACACAATTTTTTTAGTTGATATTATGGACATTCTCTCGAGTCTTGATTATCAGTTGTAGACTGTAGTTGGGTGTTTAAGGGGAGGTTTTGTTATTCCCTCCATTTTCGAGATAAGGGAAGATTTTTATGGTTGGCTTGTTGTTTTGTTATTTTGTGGGAGATTTGGCTCCAGAGAAATAATAGAATCTTTAGAGGAGTTGAGAGATTTAGGGAGGATACTTGGGATATTATTAGATTTAATACCTTTTGTGGGGGTTTGTTTCTAAGGTTATTTGAAATTATTAGTTAGGTGTTATTCTTTTGAATTGGAGATCCTTTCTTTAGGTGGATCTCCTTTTGTGGTTTTTTTTCTATGCTCTTAAATATTCTTTCATTTCTTTAAATTAAAGCTTGGTTTCTCATTAAAAAAATGTTGTAGATACTAGGTTTAGCATAATTAAATTATGATAGATATGAAAAGTAACATATCATGAGCTTTTGTTGAATGGTCCCTTACTGGAGGTCGATCCCCTTTTATTGGACTTGTTTTTTGTATGCCCTGTGTATATCCTTTCATATTTCTCAATGAAAGTTTGGGTTCTTATAAGAAAAAAGGGGAATTTTTTTTTATGAATGGTTATATTTTTAAATGTTACTATTCTAAGGTTCTAAGAATTTTATTTGTATTAGATATCCATAAATGAATTAAATTTATCCAACCCATCAACTTAAACTTTTGAGTTGAGTGGTATTTTATTCATCTCTAACATGGTATCAGAGCCGGATGTTCTATTATGATTTCTACTTGTTCGGTCTTAAGCTTTTGGGTTGAGTAATAGTTTATTCATCTTAACCATTTGTATAGATCTGTAGTTTTATGAGAAAGGATTTTCTTATTCATTCTTAATACAATAGGATGAAATATATACAAGAGCATCTTCAATCAAAAGATTGGAAATTAGGTATCAATCTAGATCTACAAGGAAAAAATAAATTACATAGTATAAAATGAGATAAATTTAAAGTAATTCCTAAATTTCAGTTTGACTGTCTACACTCTCCGTCAAACTGGATGATATATGCTCGTCATTCCAAGTTTCGAAAGCAATCTACTAAGGCTGGTTCAATGCAATGCCTTAGTTAATATATCAACTACTTGTTGTTGGGAAGACACATATCTTAGATTAATTGCGTGTGTTTTAATCTTCTCACTAATGAAGTGACAGTCTATTTCAACATGTTTCATCCGGTCATGATGTATTGGATTTCTTGCGATGGCTATGACAGATTGATTATCACATATACCTCTATAGTACCTTCAGTCTTGATCTTGAGCTCAGTGAAAAGGCATTTTTAACCAAATTCCTTCACAAATCTCCCATGGGCTAATGATTGAAACTCAGCTTGAGCACTGCTTCAGGCTACAACCTATTGTTTCTTACTACGCCAGATTACTAAGTTCCCCCATACATAGGAACAATATCCTGATGTTGACTTCCAGTCAATTGGAAATCTGACCCAATCTGCATCATTGTAGACTTCAAGAGCTTGGTTTGTGGTCTTCCTGAACATGAGTCCATTTTCAGGATCGTGCTTGAGATATCTCAATATTCTATACGCATCTTCCATATGTTCCTTTGAAGGTTTGTTTAGAAATTGACTTACCACGCTAACCGCAAAGCTAATGTCTAGTCGAGTATGAGTTAAATATATAAGCTTCGCAACTAGACGTTGATATATCCCTCGATCAACTGGTTCATCTTTGGGATTAACTCCAAGTTTTGAGTTCGCATCCATTGGTGTATCTGTTGGTTTGCAGCCACTCATCCTGGTTTTTCTTAGTAGATCTAGGGTGTACTTTCATTGAGTAACAGAGATCCCTTTACTAGATCTTGCGACTTTCATTCCTAAGAAATACCTTGGTGTCCTAAGTCTTTGATCTCAAATTTCTTTGAGAGAAGCAAAGTTTTAAAAGGCTTGAGGTGGGCTTGAGGCGGGCTTGAGGCTTTTATTCAAGGAGAGGCGAGGCGTAAGACTTGAGGCAGTATGAGGCGTAAGACTCATTTTAAATGGAAAGTAAAAAAAGAATAAAATTCATAAAAGATAAAGCATTAAACTTTGTATTCCTAATATTATAATATTCCTATAAAAGCATAAAACACACCTAATAAAGACGAAATGAAAAATCTTGATGGTCTATCGAGGTAAATTAATACATCCAACTTTCTTGAGATAAAAAACTAAGGCTCATCCACAACATCATTATCACTATCACTAATAGGATCTTCCATAGAGTCATCGTCATATCTAATTGCCACATCTTCATTTTCATTGTCACTTTCAATATCCACTCATTCGTCTTCATCCAATGTCGTCAGCATCTTCCCTTTATCTGTTTACAAAATAAATTTTGTAAATTTAGAAGTTAGAACATAAGTTATTACTATACGTAACTTATAAGTTATAACATTAAAAGAGAAAATTAAAATAATTTGCCATAACTTTTAAGTCACGTACCATTACTTCTACATTTTGGTCGTTTCATCTTATCACTAACATCTCTCCATTGGGTACTATTTCCTTTTCCAAGCTCAAAAATATTGATGTTAGGATCATCATCATGCTCAGTAAAGGCATCAACTCCAAATTCACTATCCCTAGTGTTCTCAACAATCCACTCATCATCTGATGCCAAATCATCTAGTACCAATGGTTCTTCTTCTTTGAGAGCCTTTCACTTTAGGTGCTTATCCTTTAATCTTTTATTGTACATGATATAATCTAAGTTATTTAACTTAGTTGCACTCAAACGATTCCTTCTCTTTGTATACACCTATCAATATGAAATAATTTATCACTAAATTTAGCGACAACGTCTTAAACAATTGATTAGAAGTTAAAAATGAAAATTTTCTATAAACCTGATTAAATGTACTCCAATTACGCTTGCAACCAAATGTTGAACAAGTAAGACTCAAAACTTTGATGGCAAATTTAGTTAGTTCTGGTGTGCCATCACCAAATTGGGTACACCAATCAACTACATTGTCAAATATCATATCAAGTTAGGAAACCAAAAGAAATAATAGGTTATATTTCATCTTGTTACCTAAGTCGCTTTTTGCAAGATCCTATTGCCTGTTGGAAGCCAAAAAAATCATTCCCTCATTCGAAATGAATCGATTTGAAGATCAGTTTTTACTCTATCATTTTCATCAACTATCATTTTGTCCATACATGTATATAAACCCAACTTGATCTCTGGATGAATGGAAAAATTATCATCATATTGAAAATGTATGATACATGACAACCCAAGCGTATTGGACTACTCGAGCCACAAGCCACTTGAATCCAATCGTATAGATAGTTCAACCCGAAAGGTTAAGAATTAGACGGATTACCTTTGTAGTCAATGACCTTGAGCAGACAGAATACTCACTATGCTCAAAGTTGGAAACAGTCCACGAGTTTTGTGACTAACCAACCAAGCATGCTCCAAGGGTAAAAATATGGATGGGGGAGGGGTTTGCACATGGCAAGGGTGAAAACACTCTCAATTTTCTATTAAATGATAATTCCAAGATGATCCAAACAAAGGGGTACACGTCTCAGCTAAGGCCCATGGCCTTTTTTATAAAATGTTAAATAATTAAATAAAACATAAAATCAAAATAAAATCAATTCAAAAACAATCCTTGCCGATAATTGAAAATATTTTCTAAAACTAGAAAAAAATAAGAAAAAGATCAACGATATTCCCTAAATGTTCTTGGAACAATTTAGGAAAAGATTTCCTAAAATGTTCCAAGAGTGGGCGGCAAGGAACGTCAAGGGGGCAGGCGC